CTCACACCCTCAACAGCATCAGCACCAGCACCAGCATCATCATCAACAGCACCAACATAAGCCTATCCAATCCTCTAATCACCATCCACACCATTACCCTAACCATCCCCAGAAACAAACCCATCAACATTAGATAGATACATAATCGGCCTCTCTTCCTAATCAACTTCTCCTTCTAGAAAAACTTCTTATTCAATTCTCTTGACCTGTTTTTTTTTTGTCTTCTTTTGTTTGAGTGGTCCGTTTCGACACAACTCTTTTTTCTTCTTTCTTTTTTTTGGATTTGGTGACCCCGACTTCGTCTCACTAATTTGTCTATGAAGATCTCTTGCTCTCTATGAGTGAGAGATATAGTGTATACATATATGTAAGTATTGGCCATGTGCGTATGTGTGTTGTGTAAGTACTTGATGGAGTACACCCTGGATAAGCTAATCGGTCGACCGGCTCTATTAATTGGGTGACACCTGATGTTGGCTTGAAAATGAAGATAATGAGAAAACAAAAAGCAGAAGAGCTGAGGATGAGTACATAGCAACCCCGCCGAATGGTTGAACCGAAGTGGAGATTGGTCAAGTGACATGCGCCACATGCGACCATCTCATCCCCAGCTTCACAAGCTAATCATTGGCCGGCCTGGCTGGCTAGCAGAGCCTTCATTCCACACCCGTCCTTTATTCTACGTCACCTTCTGCCTTCAAAACCAGCCTCTTGCCTTACGATTTAAGCCCCTAGTAACAATCCTACTCTGATGACCATTGGACAGCCCAACAGAGCATAAGAAGATGTTCAGACAGATTTCGAGTCTAATTTAACACGACTTCTCGCCTTGGTTGCGATTCTCAAATCGGCCGATGCCCGCATAAGATCCTCGAAGCGGTCATCGAAATATCCTCGCAATTGCTACTAATTAAACAAAATTGTACAGGTGTAAAAATAGGTGGAATGTGTCAGAGGGCCAAAAAAAACAACAACGAAAAAGAGAAGAAATTAGTGTTATGAAGGAAAGCTCCTTTTGTAATCAATACATAACATCAATCCGTGCTTGAAAATAATCCGAGGAGAAAACATTGATCGGTTATCTTTTTCCACTGCTTCCTTTTCAAGAAGCGCAAATTCGAGCCAAACCGACAAGCAAAACACTTTTAATCGCAATCGCCTAGATAAAAAAAATTCATACCATAATTTGACGCTGTGGAGTTCAAGACTCCATGCTTTTATTTGATTGAAGCCCGTTTCGGGACTTCCTTACAAAGCTCACAACGGGCCTTTCAAGATATGTTTTAAGTGTGTGAACAGAATTTATTCATTTTTCTTAGATATACGCAAATACATAAAAAGACATGCTCGAATTTATATAAAATATTTTTAGTAGTCTTACATAACATGATTCTAAATGGACAGAGTTTATTTCTAGATAGGAGCGCTTTTTTCGGAAAGCTACAGATGATCCGACTGACTGGGCACCGGGGTTATCGTCTGGAGAAGCGAGGACATGTGTATCCACTCTAGGCCGAGGTTCCTTCGGCCTCCGGAGCAGCTGGCTTCTTTTGTTCCTTGGGTTTGGAGTCCTTCGACGTTGGGTTTGCCTTTTCCTTGGGTGCTTCCGAGGTTCCTTCGGCCTCCGGAGTTGCTGGCTTCTTTTGTTCCTTGGGTTTGGAGTCCTTCGACGCTGGGTTTGCCTTTTCCTTGGGTGCTTTGTGCTTGTGTTCTTTCGCTGGCTTGGACTCCTTGGGTTTCTTAGTCTCAGGTTCGGCGCTCGCCTTGTCGTTCTTTTCAGGACTAGCCGGTGCCGCATCTTCTCGTTTCCAGGTCAGGTGTTCGGCTCGCTTGCTGATCCCTAAAGGCTTGGCAGTTTTCTCGACCGCACCGGTATCATGACCGGCATCTCCGTTGGAGGGCTTCGCATCTCCCTTAGCATGACCGGCATCTCCATTAGAATGAACGGCATCTCCCTTGGAATGACTGACATCTCCCTTGGAATGGTCGGCAGCGCTCAGCTTGGATTTGAGTTTATCGAGTAAGCCGCCGCCTTTCTTCTCCTCTGGAGCTCCACTAGGGGAATCCGCTCGTTTGGACATCGGAGACTTGGCTCCCATCGCACCTGCACCACCCTCTCCACCTTTAGAAAGACCGCCGCCGCCGGCTTTCTTTGCTTTGAGTTTCTCGAGGAAGGCGGCTTTCTTGTCGTCTGATCCTCCACCCGGGGCATCTGCTCGTTTGGTGAGCTCTGTCGGCGGAGTGCCGGCGGGACGACCGCTAGCACTTGACTTCGCTTTGAGCTTCTCCATAAAGCTGGCCTTCTTGTCTTCTGCCGATTTAGTGGCGGCTTCTGCTCGTCGGGTCATTCCATTAGGTTTAGAAGTTTTCCCTGGACCGGCGGGAGGAGTACCACTACCGCCACCTGCCTTAGTTTTAGATTTGGGATTCTGATCAGGGGTGCCACTTCCAGCTCCAGGTGCGCCGGTAGAGTTTGGCTTGAGTTTAAGTTTGTCCATCAAGGCTTTAACCTCTTCTGGGGAGTGGTTCTTGAGTGGTTCCGAGGTCTTGCTATTTCCCCCTGGCATACCAGCAGCCGACTTGGGGTTTTTGGGATCAGTCTTGCCTTCCGATGGAGTTGCAGATCTGCGGGGTAAAATGAACAAGATTAAGGGAAAATAAAATCAGAGACGTTCTTCTCGTTGGTGCACCACCACGATACTCGAGTCGGGCTTTCACAAAAAAAAAAAAGAAGAAGAAGAAGACACTCACTTGGGGTTCTTGGGACTTCCAACAGGTACAGCAGAAGCTGGCAGCTTAGGGTTTTTAGAATTGATGTTGGCATTCTTGCCGCCGGGAACGTCCGTAGGATCTAGAGACACACTGGTGAAAATCAAGGAGGAAAATGCGCAGTCAGACATAACAGATTCCTTGCTTTTGGGCCACCGCGATTTTCAAGATCGACTGGCTCAAAGTTAAAGGTACTCACTCGTTTGCTTTGGGCGCCGGTGCGGCTCTTGTAACGAGGCCAGCTTGGGTGTCCATACAGGTCGATGCAAAAACGACGATCGAAATAAATTGGACGAGTTTGAATGAAACCATGGCGTCGATTTGTCTTTGGTAGAGTTGTTGGTTGTTGACGTTAATTTTACTGATACTGGGGCTATTGACAAAGAAATGGAGCGGCGGAGAAGGATGGGTAGGTATTCGTGATGATATTTAAAGCCCGGCTTTATAAACAATGGTGGTTAAAAATATGAAACAATGAACACTTGATAGTTGGATTTGGTACTGGGTATATAAACAGTAGAAGGAGATGAATTGCTGGAGTGTGTGGAGTGATGTCCAAAGTGGGTGAATAGCAGCTCCTTAAATAGAATTCATGGTCGGCCCCAAAACTCAGCAGGTTGAGCGAACTGCTTCCCTGGAGCCTTCTTCACCTTGATGTTGTCCTTGCACAAGGCAAACATGAACCTTGAAGGCTTAGCCTAGGTAATTGGTCATGTTGGGAGTAGTGATTCTAATTTTTTTTTCCTTATCACCCGTCGTTCGGTCGACGACTATGCCTGGCTCTGGCACATTGGTCGTGGATTTGTAATGGAACATCTTGCCTTGGCACCTCTTTTTCCTTGTACCCTTAATTTGAATCCTGCTCGCTCTGCATCTTTATTCTCTCAATATGCATGCTCACTGCGACAGCGCAGTCATCATGTGGACAATGAAGCTTTGGTCAATATCTTTCAAGCAAAATCGGAAATCTCGAAATAAAATGGACACATGAAATAGAAATAGCAAAAAAAAAGGGCCTTAATAAAAAAACGCGGTTTTTCCGCGTTTTGACGCGGTTTTGGCTGCGCGCAGCACACGCGGTTTCCGCATTTAGACGCGGTTTTTTATTTAATTTTTTACCGCTTATTTTTTGAGTTTTTTTGAATTTTAAAAATTGTTTCCTAGGTTTCCAAGCGCGTAGAATTTAATGGTAAAAACCATTTTCCATAAAAATGAATTTTGATTATTAATTATTTTTTTTTTCACTCATTTCTCAATTAATTGTTTGCATACATGTATGTACCTTATTTTTTATGTTTTTTTAAAATTTTAAATTTATTTCCTAGGTTTTAATAGGCGTAGAATTTAATGGTGCAATCCAATTTCTTTAAAACTCAACAGTTCACTTTTAATACTAAAATTACACACTTTTTTCACTTCATTTTTTACAGCTTAATTTTCATTATTTTTTGACATTTCAAATTTCTTTCCAACACTTTAAGACATGGTTAAGATGATGGTAACAATCATTTTGGGTAAAAACAAAAGATTGGTAATGAATACTGCGTTGGACAGGTTTTTTTTGATGTTTTTTTAAATAATTTTTAACAGCTCAATTTTAATCATTTTTTGAAATTTTAAATCTATTTCCTACATCTAAAAGTGTGTAGAATTTAATGGTAGAATTCATTTTGCCTCAAAATAAAAACTTCAATCTTAATATAAGAGTGTACACTGTTTCTTGCATAATTTGTACTGTATACAAATTTTATTTGAATGCAAAATGAATACAGCCAAAAATTTTAAAACCTTTCAAAGTGTAGGAAAACAACTTAAAATTCCACAAAATAAGGATCATTAAGCGTGTAAGAATTAATTAAGGAAACGCGTTCAATGCAGTATTCAAGATATAGTTTTTATTTTTATGCAAAATCATTTTTACCATCATTTTTAACATGTCTCAAAGTGTGGGAAATGAATTTAAAATGTCAAAAAATAACGAAAATTAAGCTGTTAAAAATCAATTGAAAATTATGGCTAATTACAGTATTCTGTAGAGACAGACAAAATGAAGATGTGTCTGGTGAGAGTCGAACTCACGACCTCAGCTAAGCTGAGACACATACTAGAGTGCTGCCTTTACCAACTAGGCTACAGACGCTTGTGACTGCCAGGGTTGTTGGGTGGTAGTGCTCATGGTTCGACATGTAGTGATACATCATGGTAGCAGACTATCAGACACCTCAACATATTCAGCATGAACGGTTGGGTTTAATGGAAATTGAATTATACCATTAAATTCTACACACTTTGAAATGTAGGAAAAAACTTTAAAATTTAAAAAAAGCATAAAAAATAAGGTAAAAAATTAATGCAAACAATTGAGTGAAAAAGTGAAGTATTAAATAAAAAAAAACGGTGTCAAATGCAGCATTCAAGGTATAGTTTTCAACTTGGGGAAAAATGGTTGTTACCATAATTTTCTACATGTCTTAAAGTGTAGGAAATAAATTTAAAATGTCAAAAAATGATGAAAATTAAGCTGTAAAAAATTAAGTGAAAAAATGGGTGTAATTTGAGTATTAAAAGTGAACCATTGAGTTTTAAAAAAATTGGATTGCACCATTAAATTCTACGCACATTAAAACCTAGGAAATAAATTTAAACTTTCAAAAAATCATAAAAAATAAGGTACATACATGTATGCAAACAATTAATTGAGAAATGAGTGAAAAAAAATAATTAATAATCAAAATTCATTTTTATGGAAAATGGTTCTTACCATTAAATTCTACGCGCTTGGAAACCTAGGAAACAATTTTAAAAATTCAAAAAAAACTCAAAAAATAAGCGGTAAAAAATTAAATAAAAAACCGCGTCTAAATGCGGAAACCGCGTGTGCTGCGCGCAGCCAAAACCGCGTCAAAACGCGGAAAAACCGCGTTTTTTTATTAAGGCCCTTATTTAATACTTCACTTTTTCACTCAATTGTTTGCATTAATTTTTTACCTTATTTTTTATGCTTTTTTGAAATTTTAAAGTTTTTTCCTACATTTCAAAGTGTGTAGAATTTAATGGTATAATTCAATTTCCATTAAACCCAACCGTTCATGCTGAATACTGTAATTAGCCATAATTTTCAATTGATTTTTAACAGCTTAATTTTCGTTATTTTTTGACATTTTAAATTCATTTCCCACACTTTGAGACATGTTAAAAATGATGGTAAAAATGATTTTGCATAAAAATAAAAACTATATCTTGAATACTGCATTGAACGCGTTTCCTTAATTAATTCTTACACGCTTAATGATCCTTATTTTGTGGAATTTTAAGTTGTTTTCCTACACTTTGAAAGGTTTTAAAATTTTTGGCTGTATTCATTTTGCATTCAAATAAAATTTGTATACAGTACAAATTATGCAAGAAACAGTGTACACTCTTATATTAAGATTGAAGTTTTTATTTTGAGGCAAAATGAATTCTACCATTAAATTCTACACACTTTTAGATGTAGGAAATAGATTTAAAATTTCAAAAAATGATTAAAATTGAGCTGTTAAAAATTATTTAAAAAAACATCAAAAAAAACCTGTCCAACGCAGTATTCATTACCAATCTTTTGTTTTTACCCAAAATGATTGTTACCATCATCTTAACCATGTCTTAAAGTGTTGGAAAGAAATTTGAAATGTCAAAAAATAATGAAAATTAAGCTGTAAAAAATGAAGTGAAAAAAGTGTGTAATTTTAGTATTAAAAGTGAACTGTTGAGTTTTAAAGAAATTGGATTGCACCATTAAATTCTACGCCTATTAAAACCTAGGAAATAAATTTAAAATTTTAAAAAAACATAAAAAATAAGGTACATATTGTGTTTCCAAGAAAGCTTGGATCCGACCCTGTTTTGAAATTTTTGTCACCCCTAAATTATCAAGATAGGTTTTTTTTTTCGAGTTTTTGCCATCAAATAGATACCTCGGGAGACTGACAAGAATCCCACATGTATCAATGTCTTATGACATATTCGTGCTCTCTAGATTGCAGGAGGTAGCTGATGGCGGTCAGCGTTCCAATATCCCACTCCTTCATAGCCACACATCTGATCCTCCTGTTATCCAGACCCCCATTTTCGTTATTGCGGCTTCCTCGATATTGATATCCTTGTTATCTATCATTGATCTCCATCCATCATTTTCCCCTTCTTGTCCTTTCTCATACACCAGCTACCATCTATAACTCTCCCCGTTTGATCCTGAAACATGTCGACTGAGCCGGTGTCACAGAACTTTTCACCTCTCCAATCACTTACTCAACCGGTGGATCAAGGCATTCAAATCGTGGCTGGGAAATCTGTTGGTTTGATTTCTCTCTCTTCCCGTCTCTTGATGTCTCCGAATGATTATTTTGATGGTTTTTAATTTGTTGTCCTTGCTTTGCACATTGTCTTACCAGGAATACAAAATTGTGACCTCCCTCAAACTATACGTGGCCAGCAAAAGCAAGCAGAAAAAGAAAATATGGGTCCAGGTTACTTCCAAGGACGACTTCTTTGTCAAGATAGTTCCGGGTGAGACAGCCTTCGACGAGTTCCAAGACATGGTGGCTGCGGCGTGCGATCTGAATGTCCCGAATTCTGGTGATATCGTGGCCGAAAACAAGCCCGACCTGAACTGGAATGTCTATATGTGTCGTGTGAAGGGCTGGCTCAAGTCAGATGCTCGGAGTCTTACGGATGTCGAGTCCTACAACGATTGGGTCGCGGCGATTTTGGCATGCAAGAAGAAAGATGTTGCGATCAACTTGGCTCTTCGGATGGACAACCCTGCCGATGCTATCAAACGAGGGAAACAGGCTGATATCCTGGCCAAACGGGCCAAAATCAAGAAGGCTATCGAATTGAAGAAAACTGTGAAGCGCAAGTCGGGAGACGATGTCGAGGAGATGGTGCTGCTGAGTGAAGACAACGACGAGGAGATCGATCCTGAGGACTGGAACGATGTGGACTTCCACATGCGGGCGCTCTTTGACGCTAATCCGATCAACCGCGAGTACGATTCTCTGGTCCCGGTGTTCCTCCATCCATCCGTGCCCGGTAGATTCTTACTCCTGACCATGGCGGCGTGCCAGGAGTGGGCAATGGCTATCGTAAGTGTTCATTGGTTTGTGAATTCTGACCTGGGGGGGGGGGCGGCACGAGCTGACCTTTCATCTGCCTGTGACTGTCTGACCAGATGGACGAGAAGCAGCCAGCGGTGAATATGTTGAATCCCCCAAAGAGCCTCACCTGGGAAGATTTGGGGGCCCCCAGGAAGAAGCATAAGGCCGTGGTTGGCCCCTCCCAGCCCCTTGCAGAAGAGAAGGCCGAGTGGTGCCGAATGATGGTCGATGCGTTTGCAGAGGTGGGGAAGGCGCGCGCAAAGGAGAACGAGGCGGCACCGGCGTCAGATGGGATTCCGTACCAGCCGGACTCTGATGCGCCAATAGTCGATTATTTGAGATTCCTAAACGTTCGGAACCTCGAGACGGTCCTGGACATCCTATGTTCAAACGATATCCACTCTCACAAGATGTTTCGACCCGGGTCGTCTCTTAGCCGACAAGAGGTCCTAAGTCTGGGGCTCACGTTTGGAGTGGTCACAGCTTTGTATGACAACGCCTCCAAGTATGATCGATTTCTCACTAACAATTCATGTTAGGAACGATACCTCTAATAACGCTTTATTATGCCCGCTTGGCGGGCTTGATGTTGTTTGCCTGTCTGTCATCTGGGATGGGTGGAGGTTTTTGTCTTCTCATGTCATGTCTCACAATACTTGTAAAAGAGCGATGTGTGGCCTGATTAACATCTGTTTGTTTTTATCTCTATCTCCATCGATGATTGTTTGACTCCGGTTTCATCAAACTTATCTTCTCTTGTCTTCTTCTGTCTCACAAAATTTGTAAGACCAATGCGTGTCCGGGATGAGTCCTTTCTACCTTTATCTCAATGCCATCTCCTTAGAGTCTTACTCATTCCTGCTCAAAGGGGCCACCCTATAAGCCTTTCCATTGCTTAGGACAATTGCGAGGGGTGTGAATCTCGCCGGCTGTTGAGGTGCGGAACAAATACGAGATAACTAACTTGTGATTGATATATTGGAGCATAGAGGGCTCGTTTTTCTACACGAGGGGTAGGATAGAGACATTGGGTCTCAAGAGAGAGAAATACACGAGAGGGATATGAGGAGTCCCATTAGATGAGACGACTAATGTTACAAGATAATAAGGGAACGGAAAGGACCGGCCTTGGCTAAGTTCGGTCCGTAGTTAGTATTTCTAATATATGAGATTACAAGGTCCATAAACAGATAAGAAGCGATGTAGGGTAATATGGCCGAAAGCGGCTGAGATTATTTAGTCATAAGGAATCGGATGCAAGAGATTGACCTAGAGCGGTCAGTAGGCTCTTGTAGCTGGATAAGCCTCCGTAGGAGCCGTTCCCTTATCCGGGAGTCGGGACTTCACAGGGGCCGCTATAAGCTTTGCCCTTGTTTAGGGCAATTGCGTCCCTCAAGAAAACTCATCTTATGTATGCGTTTCATGTATGACACCGGGGTGAGAAATAATCAGACAGTATGTGATTGAATGATCACTTTGATGAGACAGGAGGAAGTACAACTGAGGGTGTGGATTGACCCATTTTTTAAGCAATATGGCATAAGGCCTTTTGTTAATACTCGGCAGGAAAAGTCAGACAGAATGATGAAGATCTAACATTCGAGGTCATCTTTAATGCACAACATAAACAAATCATGCACAAGGGGCTTTTGACAGACTACGAGATAGCTAAACAAATATATCTGATACTACTAACTACTAGACCTCAGGGGAAGGAGAAGGAGACATGCCTCCTGCATATACGTTCATGTTGTGATCGTACCGAGCAAGTTGTTCGGCGCCTTCGATGAGTAATCGGGCGATTCCTATAGGGAATCCAATGCCGATCAATTCGGCCTCGGAGGAGGATTGGAAAAAAGACCAGTGTACAATTCCGTTGGACAACAAGCGGGCACGAGTTAGCTTGTCTGCCTTGGGGATATGTGCCACATGGAGATATGTCTCCATGTGGTGACCCTCCAACTCCGGGGAAGCCGGTGGCAAAGGCGCATTTGCGGCAGCGGGAGGGGTCGGATGCACGGTTGTGGTGCCTTGGGGAGGGGTCGGATGCACGGTCGTGGTAACTTGGGTGTGGGTCGTGTTACCTGATGAGATTGGGATGACCTCGATGTTATCAAGGTCGCCATTATCAGAAACGGCTGCCGCGCCCGACATCCCAGGAGCCAACCGGTTAGGTGGAGTAGTGAAATCGGGCCCGGTGTTCCGCTTGCTAGGAGGTGCGTCTGAGGCTGAGGCATTGTGAGCCCCACGCTTGCGACCATCGATCCAGACGAAATTGTTGTTCGAGGGGGGCATCCTAGGGCAGACTCCGGCTACATTCTGAACAATTGCCTCGGCCCACTCGTTCAAGTGAGAGGACTCAAACTCCATGAGTTGCTGGGCATTGAAGGGGTGTACAACCGTGTAAGTGGTCGGGCCGGTTGGAGTGGCATGCGCCTTGATATTCTTAATTGCCTCCGAAAGGCGACGATGGTGTTCGAACTGTTTGTTAAAATTAATAATAATCAAATCAGTATGCTTCAAGCTAAAGTAAATGTACGGAGAAGGAAAGGGTACATACATGAGCCCTCATGGCCTCTTCATAAGCCTTTCTAGATGGGTTGTCCATGGTTATCTTGACGGTGACAGAGGCCGGGAAGGCATCGTATGCCGCATTTGAGAAATTAAGGAACACCATCGGCCCATCAATCGTGACGCCAACGCCGTAGTCAGGGTGATCCTTGATGACCCCCATCCAGATGAGGGTCCCGTCTTCGTGGTTCTTCATGAGGAATGCGCGGAGGTCGAGGCTGTGGTCCGCCACATGAATAATGGCCTCGGTCTGGAATCGAGGCCACGTGAACGATACAATGTTAGCCTGAAATGGAGGGGGTCGAGGATGAGGAACAATCTTTTCCCATTTGACAGGGGAGAGTTCCCCGCGCATGCTCAACTCGCGGTGCTTCGCCGACTCGATGTAAAGGATGTAATCGAGCCTAATAGCGGCCGACCGAGGGATTTTCAACATGAGGGATTTGGAATGTCGGTCGCGTTGAGGCGATTGGGTTTCTTCACATAGAACTCTTGAGGCGTTGTTGGTAGGTTGGGCAGACATGATCGAGCCAGCTGATGATGATGTAGAATGCCTGAGTGGTTGTCTGAAATGGCTATACCGGATGAGAATGTGTGAACAAGTGCGGTTGGAGAGCAGACTGGATCCACAAGGGACAGATACGTACCTTTTTACGTGTGTTGCGACGACCCTCCTTAGCAGGGAAGGAGGCCTCAAAGAACTAATTATCGTAAAGTGTAGATCACTTGATCATGCAGGATCAGTCCAAGCAGGTCAATCGGGTCCTGACCGATCATGACATGAGCACATCCACTAGATCGGTACTCACATTAGGTCGATTGGGCACGAGATTGATGGCAGCACCATCAAGTAGGAATACAATGCAATTGAATAGAACTTGAATTGACAATCTAGCAGGACGAGTAGTAGCAGACAGCGAGTAAACAGAGGCAGGAAACAAAGGATTGAATGGAAATTAAATCAGACAAAGGCATGCCTAGGAGGATGAACAAGGGATGGTACCCTATAGCCACAATGGTGATACAGCTTAGAGCACAGACTTGCCGTCATAACATTAACACATGCACGCCGTAGGATCCATTCGGGCCGATCCGTAACCGAGAGGGCCTGGGTCCTTCGAAGGTGGGTCTTCAGATTAGCAAAACACAGCTCAATCGGATTGAGCTCCGGGCAATATGGCGGGAGATAAATAACCCGGACGCCAAATTCATCGCAGATATCTTCAATGTAAGGTCCACGATGGATCCGAGCGTTATCACACACAAGTACAGAATTTGGTGCCGGGTACCTGTTCATCCGAGGAAGCTGAGGTTTCAGCATCATTAGCAGACCCATCAAATAAGATAATACAAGACAAACCCGGGCCCATGAGGAATGACAAGAAAAGTGTAAAGGGCCCACCAAAGTCCACTTAAGAAAGTGTTCGAATTTGATACCATTGTAAGTATCCTTGCGAACGGTCAACGCAATTACACCGTCTATTGATATGGCCGGCAGGATGCTGAAGCGCTCGGGGTTCTGCCGAACAACGTATCGTGCCGCAGGGGTCCCACAAGGCGAACGTGCATGAGTCCGAAGCAAGGCACGATCACATATTGCACTCTCATCTAGGAAAAGAAAAGCACATGAGCCTGAGGAAATAGCAAGGAAAAAAATTGCAGCTCACCCGTAAACACCAGGTAGTTGGCAGGAAAGAACGACATGCGATCGACATAGCGATATTTCTTGAGTAGGCACTTGCGAGAGTTGAGTGTCTCCGCCTTTTTCAGAGTTATCGACAAGTTAACGACCAAATTCTCGTGAACCGACGCCACGGACAGCAAAGTCCCAGATGAATCGTAGAGCTTCTCACGAATTTCGTCCAAAAACAGGCCAGGTTCATTTCGGACCAATTGTAGCATAAAGGAGCAGTCTTCAGATGATAGGGTTCTGGGGCGTCCGAGGCGCTCGTATTCCTCCGGATTTCGAATAACTTGTCGGGTCTGTTCGTAAAGTTCACGCCAGCGATTGAAAGACTGCTTAGATATTTGTAACCCAAGCGTTTGCCGGATAAAGTTTCTTGAATTTCCATCTAATGACATCCGAACCGCGATCACCTTGATGTTGGGAGGGTAGTAAACATACGGCATCGTTGAATGACTGAGATGGTTGGATGATTGAGAACAGACGACGGGGAGCAAGTGAGGCGTGTTGAAAGGTTGCACAAAACCAATTGGGGGAGGGAAGTGAGTTGGGGAATTAATTAATTTACACCATGTTTGACAATTTACAATCGGGCCAGAGCCTGATGGCCGCAAGATATAGAAGTTCATGCATGACACTGCATGAACTTTTTTGTAAAGGTTCCCAGGCACTCAGGGTTTTGGGCAGAATAAAATTTTAAAAAATAGATATATATATGCATACTTTTCTGGGATTACAAAAAATTCAAAACCAGATCGGATCCAAGCTTTATTGGAAACACAATACATGTATGCAAACAATTAATTGAGAAATGAGTGAAAAAAAAATAATTAATAATCAAAATTCATTTTTATGGAAAATGGTTTTTACCATTAAATTCTACGCGCTTGGAAACCTAGGAAACAATTTTTAAAATTCAAAAAAACTCAAAAAATAAGCGGTAAAAAATTAAATAAAAAACCGCGTGTGCTGCGCGCAGCCAAAACCGCGTCAAAACGCGGAAAAACCGCGTTTTTTTATTAAGGCCCAAAAAAAAATCGCAAAAAAAAAAACAATTGCAGGAAAAAAAAAAAAGACTCGGAAGGACAAGCTTTTCCGAATTAGCTGTAGAGTAGAGGATGCGAACTTCTTCTCAGGTTGTGGGCTGTTGTCGATTGAACTGGTTGAACGGCGGGGCAATATGGTTGACAAGATTTCATCGATCAGGGAAAAGGTTTGCCTTGCAGTCTTTCTTTGAGAGCTGGACATCTGCTTTGAATTCTGCACGCTCAGCAACTGTTCTCTCGAAAAGGTTGTGCCGATTCTGATTAAACTGGTTAAACGCCGGCAATTGAAACTGGGAGAAAGTATCTTTGGCTAACAGGTACAAGCTGCCTGCCAAGGTGGAATCCAGCCCAGCGGGTGGGTCCCTTTACCGACTCATCACCTCCAAGGTGCACCCACCCGCCGGCCAAGCGGCAAAGTTGGAAAAGCCCAAATGGGTAGTATGCACTTGAAGAATTTTTTTTGCCCATTTTTTTTTGTTGTCATGGTTCCGACGGATTATCATGTGGGACGATTCATGCTTGCCTCGACTGCATACACAAGCCATGATTCTGCCTTAACATCATCTTATCCGATTCTTGATGTGTGTATTGTCAAGAGTCAACCCGTGAGCAACATGATGATGATAAATAGATAAATAAAGAAATGGATGAATGATGTAGTAATGTATCAACAACAGAAACAAAAACAAAACAAGACAAAATCGGTGAAAGAAGATTATGAACGGATTGTTTCAGACTTGATCTTGCATGTGTTTATGTGCTTGAGCTTGCTGTGGATGAAGATGAGACGTTTTCACCGGAAAGAAAATCATGGCAGAAGGAGATGAAAAGAGGAAGTTGATGACATGTATGCTATAAGCCCAAAAGATGATTTAACCATCTTGATTTTCCCTGTTTCTGCAGAAAAAAAGAGAAAATACTCAATAAGTGAAAGTATGTAAAAGTGTTTTGTTGCTTTTATTTGGATCGTGTGTTAATTTTCCTCCTCCTCATCATCATCCCATTCTAAACTTTCCAAATTGACTTGTTGACTATCTTCGTATAACTGACTCAAGCCAGTCAAAGTTTCCAGATACTTAGGATCATTAAAGGCTTGAATCAACATCGAGAATTTCGATTTCTCGTATTCATCAATGACCTATAATTCCAATTTCAGAAAAAAAAATCAAGCCAATCAACCGACCGATCATTGAAATGAGGGGAATGGGGTTGGGAATGTATGGAGAGAGAGAGAGAAGTCGAGCAGAAAAAAATCTTAACTGTTTGGCTACATCCGGTGCATTTATCATACGCAGGTCCGACCAATTTGAGGTTCTCAAACTTAGCCAAGAAACCGCGGATTTGATGAGGGACTAAACCGAGGACGGATTCCTTTATGACAGGGAGTCCATTCCGACCTTCTCTTCCTGCTTCTTCTTCTTCTTTGGCCCGATTCCTGTTGTCAATCACTTCGGCCAAGACTTCAACCCTTATTTATATACATGATAAGCAGGAACACTTCTTAGTCATTTTGTATCTGTTGTTTGCAGGATGTGAAGATTACAGGACTTACCCTTGTGGATGTTGGAGTACCGAGGCCATCATTTCGACTGCAGTCGCACTGGCGATCGGAGCCAAACCTGGTCTAGTCACCGTACACATTTGATCCAAAGTACGATCGGTCAACGACTGAGCGGAACCGCAACAGAAAAGTTCAGCATAAATACTTTTCAAGGCTTCATACACACGTGGGATAAGAGATACCTACATCAGAAGGAGCGACTACGTCGTTACAGAAGTAACACCCCAATTGTCGAATCTGCGGTAGTTTCGAACTGGTGGGCTTCTCGTCGCTCAACGGTGCAGGAGATTGAGAGGACGATGATCGGACGCCATGGCGCATGACCAAATACGAATCGAAGCCTAAAGCGGCATTAATGACCAACTAGAACGGACCCAAATCAACAAAAGCCAGAACAAACATATTTCTTCAAAAGAATCTTGGTATGGAAGGTTAAACTACCTTTCGTTTACTGGCCCCAAGAAGCGTAGGCAGCCAGCGACTTTCTCGGGAATCCATCAACAGATAAATCACATCATGCGCATCGAATAATTCTTCTAACTGGGCCACTTGGGTCTTGGTTTGCTCGATCAGATTGGGTGGGATTGGATGGCCCGGCATAGGGATCGAAAGCTCTATCCCTTCTGTTTCCTATCCAATCATTTCAATGCAGGTTGTTAGTCCTCAATGCGAGCTTTTACCCCCAGGGAAATGAAACAAATGGCCCCGAAGAACTGAGGAGATCAGGAGTTATGGCCAATAAAAAAAAGACTAACCAGACCGGGATAAATCCGTTTCAACGCAGCCGAAGCACATGCAGCTTTCGGCTTACCTCCTTCGAGACAATCTTGGAATTCAAATAATGGTTGACGAACTGGATTAGAGAATGAGACTTTAGCCGAGTCTACAAAAGTTACTTTGCGAACTCCCCAGGCCTGATCGACAAATGGCGTACAAACAGTTTGAGACCAAGGACTCAAGAAAGAGGGGAAAAGAAAAACAGATGGTCCAAAAGATTGATGATGATCAAATAACTTACGACTAGCGTCCTGGCAACGTAGCAACCCAAAGTCCCTGCACCTAAGAGTAAACAACGAGTAGATGAGATCTTCTCAAGGTTCAAGTCGGGTAAGATTCTCCATCTCATCAGTTTCAGGTTGAGATCTACAGCTTGTTCCGCCAACCTGTCGTAAAAGCAGATGGATTCATGAGCAAGTACACAATACAATGAGCTGTTGGTTGGTTTGATGAAATGGTTTGTTTACCTTGTGGGATCCATCATCGGTGCGAGATCAGCCATCCGTGGACCCAGTTTACCAGCCGCATTCTTCTCCCATCCCACGGCGGCTTGTCGACCTGAAAACAGTGGGATTTTTTGAAGATGAGTGTAAGGGAGACAGCGGGTATGTGTTTTGCTCATTCTTCGAGAATATGTTTACCTTGTATATTCTCTTGTTCAGGTAATTCGATCGTCACTACTACGCTTCGAGCCACAGTCAGGGATTGGTTCTCTCCCAACGGGTCTCGATAGCCAATCACTTTGAATTTTCGAGCTTGGTTTCCATACTGAGCTTGTAGATGAGCCAAAAGGTTACGTAACGGCCATCCAGCTGCTTGAGGGTGGACAGCAGGATCAATAAAGACCAGATATCGCTGTAACGGAGATGGGTGATAAGAATCCAGCTTGCAAGTGGGTCTTTGAACAGTGGAAACATGAAGACACTAACGTTTTCTTCGGGTACTTCTGCAAAGAATTCAGTCCATTGAGAGATTGGACCGAGAGACCATTGATTGGAGGCTGAATCACGCTTAGCGATCCAATGATGATGATCGTAGTTATTTCGGATGATCAAGCTGTTCAGTTCGAGTGTGTCTTCGAGAGGCAATGTAGGCCAGTCGCCGTCGTGCTCGTTTTGATCTTCTGAGAGTACGTTCCAGGATGGCTTGGAGAGGAAGGCTGGGAACGCAAACCAGTAGTAATACTTGTATTTCTTCAGATCTGAGAAGGTGATTATGAGGAATTCAGGCGATCTATCGTCCGCTGGATGTGTCTTCTTCTCTATCTTGTCCTTCCAAAGCTTTTTTTCCGAAACAAATCATCCCCAAAATAAAATCAAAGTTATATTCTGGTGATAAGCAATTTGTTGGTATGGGGATGGCCTGGCTTTTGATCGCTGAATGGTAAATAAAATCTAAGAAGAAGACTTACTTGATCTGTGAATGAATTGAATAGACCTTGCTTATCACAGGCTTTGAATTCTTCGATCGTATTAAAATTCTTCAACATTCCCCAGACAGCCACCCGACCAGATACGCAACTACATAGAGACCAAAATAAAAAACACAGTTGAGCGTGTGACTCTAGGAGAGAGCCCCCATTAAGATAGATAAGTGATACCCACCTAGTTTGAGGCTGGTGTTCGGGTTGATCTGATGTTGATGAGAGAGACTTGCCATCGACTCTGAATTCGTTGCCAAAGCTGACTTGATTGATCACGGTTGAGTTCTGGTGGTCTCGTTCGACGGTCCATCTGCCACGTTCGTACCATCCTTTGATTGGGACTGGCTGGTCTTCAAGCTTGAGGATGTCAATTTTGAGCTGAGTGAGTGAGTGCCAAAAGGTTGGGTCGATTGATGAGTTGAATGGGACGAACTGGAGTATCTTGGCTGACATCGCTTCGATTTGCTTTTCTGTTTCCTTCTTGTCCTCCGGGATGGCCCCTCGGCTGACTGTGCTTTGATTTCGATTGTGATGTTGTTGTTCTTGTTGTTGTTCTTCTTGGGTTGGATCCTGCTTTGTGCTCATACACATCGACGCCGATCGCCTTCACTGCGGCACAGCACTGCCTCCCGAACAACGTCCTTCCGACGAACAGCAACGACCTCATAACTGCGTCACAAGCCACCCACAGCTCAGCCCATCCCAGGGGAGTATAAAATCACTTCCTGCCCAGGACACCGCGCCGGCAAGGTATGCCCGCTTCAGGCTCTCACTCGTCTTCGATCAAAACATGAAGGTCAACGATCGAGTTGTAAGTTTCTCTTCCTCACCCATTCAACTCCCTCCTCACCCCGATCCACCTGATGAAACTTGCTAAAGATTTATAACTAGAGTCAAGCCATAAGACCTTCTAGACTCCTCAGTGGGTGGGAAGTTTGTCGATGACTATACCTAGCATTTTTTTCCTGAGACCTGTCTCCCTCCCTCCTCTGCGAACATATTATGAGTTTCGAACGCATTACTGACCTCTTGCTCTTACATCTTGGGTTCTCATTCATCTAGGCTTTCGTAATCTACTGAATCGGACCCTCATGCCGAAACGACTTGAAATGTATTCACAGATTGAATGATTCGTTCTCCTTTTCATGATTAGCTTTATTTCCTTCCGGGGAGCATCTCCTGTATGACTTTGTAATCCTCATAAACCACATGCAATATTCACTCCCTCCGTGTCCTCAATACCTCGCAATGTAAGCCCAGGCAGCTGCGCTCAACAAACAAGTCCGTCCTTCAAAACCGCCGAACTTAACCAGTTGCATCGCCAATCTCGGGTCCTCTTGAGCTCGGTAGCCGCTAGGCACTGTTTGATTCAGCTGTCGACCTACCTTCGAGCCATTTACAAGTGAGTTCAAAGGTCACACTGTGAATGTAATTCTTCAAAACCTCACTCATTCCTAATAATTTTGTGGGGGAATTGCGGAAGTTGTGCCAAGTGAGTGACCGGGATACGTACCCCCAAGGCAACAGTTATCACTCTCAACCAGGCTTGAGCTACCTGTGTTCTGAAGGTGATCACTGGCATTGTGAGGTTTGATTAGTAGCATCTCCAGATTAAGATGGATCCTTCCCTAAGTTCACAGCTGAATGGCTCATGTCTAGCATTGGAGGACTTCCTGTGCGAACTGGAGCCCTCGAAGAAGTCAATCTAGACTTGAAAACTCTAGATTCTTGCAGGGGAATTTGGTTTTTGAGGCCCTAGATTGGTTCTGGGGGACCTGCAAATTCCAACAGGAAGTCCTCCATCTACATATAACTAAAAAATAGGCTTAGGGAGCCAAACAAACTGTCATGCAATCTAATGCCGGTGTCAACCTCCAATTCACATTTGTTGGATTTGTCGACGCCATCATTAGACCAAGGCAGACAGGTGTCCAACTCAAGAAAACCCCATATCAAGTAAAACCCCCAACATCTGGGGCAAAAACAAGCAGCCTCCCCAAATTTGGGGGCATATACTAGTTTATCATTAAAATTTTACAAGTTTGTGAAAAATCTCAAATTACTCCAAACCTGATGATTCATGAGATCAGACAAAATTCATAAAATTTTATCTATAAACTAGTATATGCCCCCAAATTTGGGGAGGCTGCTTGTTTTTGCCCCAGATGTTGGGGGTTTTACTTGTTTGAAGGTCCTATGGTGTACATAATAGCCTTTGCTTTTGAAGGTTGCTATGATTGTAAAGTCCTTGGAAATGACATTGAATTGTGCAACATTGATGCCAGGGTTAGAAGCCGCATGAGAAACAATAGAAATACTGATTGAAGTCTGATGGTTTGTTTGGTCCTCTGAGGCTATTCCTTTATTTATATGTAGATGTGCTAAAAGTTGCCTTGAACTTCAGAGGTGAACCGGGCTATTTGAACGCAAACCTAACACAAGCCTCTGAGTGAGAGCCCGGAGGGCAGCCCTGCAGGGTCTCTGTCTCACAGAGAGGCTTGCCCCAAAAGCCGCAAGTCTGGCATGTATCCTGGGACTTCCAACATGCAAAAAACCACTCTTTTCCACAATAGGGCAATTTGAATGAGAACGACTGGGACAAACAACAATTTTAAGGAGGTGCACATCTTGTGCAGGCACAGAGGCCTCAATTGTCTTATTTGGGCTACAGATGAATCCTCTGTGCCCCGAGGAAGTCATTCATTGGCTGCCAAAATTGCTAGTAAAGTATGTCTTGCATACACATGAAACCACCTATCTTCCATATACTGAAGCTGTATTGGAAGACGGGAGGGGGTTTTTCAGTAATAAAACTGTATTATCATGGACTTAGAAGAAATTATGCTCCTATGTTGAGATGCATGGCCAGGGATCTCTCAAAACCCAAAATTTTTCATTGCTTATATTTCTTTTAATTTTGGCATAGTAAGAGTAAAAAGAATGTTGCCTGAGAAGGCAGAAGCGGAGCTTTCATCCAACTTGTCGGCATATTATTTGGCCCAATGGGTCATTACTTGACAAGGGTGCAAAGTTTCTTACCACCAAAAAAAGCAGAAACGCCTCTCAGGATCCACGCAAGGAGGGGGACTTGAGGCACAAGTCCCTCCCTGCAGTCGGCGCAATGCGAAAGTGGCAAGGCCACTCGCATGCCAACACCGCCCATAGCAGGGAATTGGGACTTGTGTTAAGTTTGATTTGAATGGCTTGAAACCTGCCCTTGTTGCTTGCTGGTGGCTAGGTAACATTTTCTCTCAAATTATGGTGATACCCCAGCTTCATCAACCTGTCTCCATCTGCTGTGTGGTGCTGAGATGGGTATATTTTTTACATAAATTTTACTGAATTTTTTGTGATGTGTATCAGCAAGCAGGTTGCTGGTCCGCACACTATTTAGTTAATGTGAACAGTTTGTATGTGAGAAAGGAGGAAGGGGCTCCAAAACAAAAACAAAGCCAAGGAAGACAGAGGAAACCTTGATGGATGGAATGGACATGATGTTGCTTGAGGAAGAAAAAAAAATAAAGACATAGCAGAGATAGGGTTGGTGGTATGGGTGCACTGGGGTACCAATTTCTTTTTTTTCTACATGGCTTGTATTTTTGGAGGAAATCACTATATTTTTTTCCTTTCTTTTGGTGTTTTTTCTTATTGGTTATTGACATGGTGTAGAGTTAAGTGTCACATTTTTCTGTGTGAAACCCAGGGGTTACATACACCACAGGAGCAATTGAGGGATATCACAACATTCCAATACCAACAGCTCAAGTCTGTTGTCCTCAGAACCCGCGGGACGTTGGAGGGGCATGAGGGTCCCAAGACTGTTGATAGAACCCTCTCTAACATCCGGGCCAATTGTTTGGGGGACATGCTCCTGCCCAAGGATAGCTGAACAATAGCAAATGAGATTGCTGTCCCATGAACATTCTCCATATGGTTTTAAAACTGTTCAGAGGATGATCAAATCAAATCATTGAGGCAAGGTTGCGCCTCATGACGCCTGTTTGTCTGACAACACGCCAGATGGCCATTGTCCTCTGAATGGTTTATGAAACTGTCAAGAGGACATTTTAAAGGATCGGCAAGGGAACGTTGGACATGAGGTTCTGCCAACATTCCCCAGCCATAATTTTGCAAACATCCAAATGCATTCTGGATGTAAAACTCAAGCCTCCAACTCCTCAGAACAAATTTCAGAGGAAGATGTTTTTTAAAAAAAACAACCTTGCAAAAAAATAGAAGCACTCGTTGGTGTCGCTCAATCCAGATTAGTAATATAGCAAGACTTGTGATATTACACTGCAAGCCAAGGTGTCGCAATGGTTATGATGATTCTCAGCAATCATCATTCCTGCTGCAGGTACTTGGCCATGGTTTGTGTTCAATCCCCAGAGATCTTTGCTTTTTTGCGCCGCCTGTTTTGGTCATGCTGTACCCCTCTCAACATTCCTAGAATGGGGTACTGACTGCCTGCCAACAGACCACCCATAAGTGACTGGTTGGAGGACGTTGCTCCACCCTTGTAAGAGTCCATTCCTCAAACACTGTCAAAACCCAAACACCAGAAACCAATTGGGGTAATAGATTTCTTGACTGCATCAGAACGCTGCTCCCTGGGCAGGAGCGCAACATTTGCAAATTGATTTCACCCCTCATTGGGAGGACGTTGATGTGGACTGTGGTGTAGTCTTGCGACAAGCAACCTGCGGGAAATTTCAAAATTCTGATGCGACAGGCAAGCTGTTGTTTCAACTGTTGCAGGATTAGAGCATCTCCAAAGTGGTAGATAAATTGGGTCGCTGTGGTGAGACCAATCAAGGTCATATATAGTACAAAATAGTTATTTACAGTAGTTTTCATGTTATTACAACCAGATATACATATGCTACATAACCCATTATCTTGTATCCAGTTCAGAAGGTTACAAAATAGTATTTTTTTACACATAGTTTGGTTACATAATATATAGTACTACATAGCTACTGTCAGCCTGCTACTAATTAGAGCCAGCCTGTACATAGCATTTTACATATAAATTAGAGATATTATTACCTACATATGTACATACAATTAAAATATTAAAATACACTATTTAAATAAGTTGAAACACTATAATAGAGACATTATTACACAGTACACTTACATTGTAAATATTTCATGAGAAAAACCTTTAAATAATTAAATAAACTATGAAAAATAACACTTTTAACCAGAATCTTCTGATAACTTCTGAACCTTAAGTATAAATTAGAATATTATTGCAGATTATGAATCTACATGCAAAATAACCTAGGGTAGCTCACCAAGTGTACCCCTGAATTATTACTCCTTCACTTACTTTGTAGTCCTTGAGTGATATTGGACCAAAATACACTGTAGACCCCTCCAGTTACATCATACTACATGTTGTAAGGGGGCTACATGTGTAATTAAGGTTCATGCACTTCGGGAAAAAT